AAAAAAAAAAAAAAAAAAGAATTCTTTCTATACCATAATAATTTCTAATCATATGAAAATGTTTTCCATTGAACAAAAATTTAAGCCTTAAAACTTAATTTCTTACATTCTTACAATCAATAGTGTTATTAGAATTTTCATTGACTCTGAAATTGTTTACATGCACAGAAAGGGGAAGAAAATGTGCTTATTTCTAACTAAGTTACTATTAGATACCTAATATTTAAATATACTTTTCAAATGCTTAAGAAAAATATGTTAAAATATGATGGCATATTAAACACTGCAGTGAATATTAAAGTAAACACAAAATATAGGTATTTTATGTTAAACTAACTGTAAGAGCAAAAATTATATTTCACATATGAATAACTTTTAGTTTATGCATCATCGATTTGGAAAATACTGAAATGATGCTAAAAACATGTAAGAGCTGATAAATCAGAGATTGTATCACATATATTCAGCCAGTTACAATAACTTGATATTTTGATAAGTCAAAATTAGCTTACTTCTCAATATGCAAAAGAAAAAGCATCAATGATTATAGAAAATTAAAAAGTTGCTTTCTTCCCCCAAAAATGAATGCATTAGCAATTGTACTATATAGAAATTTCCACTCCCAATTTTACTGGAAAAAAAGAATATGAATGGCAAAAGAAAAAGGGCCAGTGGTTACCAGGGCTAGGAAGAAAACAGAAAGAGAGTTATTGTTTAATGAATACAGAGTTTCAGTTTGGGATGATGAAAAATTTCTGGAGATAGTGGTGATGGTTGCACGGTTGCACAGCAATGTGAAGGTACTTCATGCCACTGAACAATACACTTAGAAACAGTTACAATGGTAAGTTTTATGCTATGTATATTGTACTACAATAAAAATGTTTTTTAAGGCTCGGCACCTGTAGCTCAGTGGTTAGGGCACCAGCCACATATACTGAGGCAGGAGGGTTTGAACCCAGCCAGGGTCTACTAAACAACAAGGAAACTGCAACAACAACAACAAAAATAGCTGAGCAGGTAGTGCCTGTGCCTCAAGGAGTAGGGCGCCAGCCTCATA